CAAGTGTGAGCGCTCTCTCTCTCTCTCAAATTGAAAAAAAAAAGAGAGTTAAAAAGTATAATGTAAGACTTACATCTCAAAGCAGTCATCATCTTTATTGTTTTCTTTCAAATCAACACCCACAGTTGCCATATTAGAGAAACTTTCCTGGACCCCAAGTATTTGCCTGGGCTTTATTTGTTTGTTTGTTTTTTAATGTTTATTTATTTTTGGAGAGAGAGAGAGTCAGAGCATTAGCAGGGGAAGGGGCAGAGAGAGAGGGAGACCCAGAACCAGAAGCAGGCTCCAGACTCTGAGCTGTCAGCACAGAGCCCGACGCGGGGCTTGAACTCACGAACCATGAGATCATGACCTGAGCTGAAGTCGGATGCTTAACTGACTGAGCCACCCGGGCGCCCCTGTGCTTTATTTTTGACTGACTGAGTTATTTCTTCAAACTGAATTGTTTTGTTTTGTTTTGTTTTGTTTTTAATGGCCCCTTGCTTTTCTTTCTGCATTCTGTATTTTGTTGCTTTCCAGCGGTCACGGAAATTCCTTGTCAGGGTCTTGTTCCTAATAAACACACAAACTAAAACATCAGAACCCCATTTACTCAGCGCTGTAGAAGAAATACTTTTCTCAAAATAACTTAACGTCTTCCCTCCTCCCAAGACCTTTTATAAAACCATTTTTTCTTCTCTGAAATCCTTTTAAAAGGTTTTCAACATTTGCCTTGTTTCTTAAACTAAGAGTTGACACTTTCCTTGCTGAGAGAGGACCAGTCGTTCTCCCGGAGCGCAGAAGCCACCGTTGGAATGGTCAGCTTTTTTATTTTGTTCGTAGCCCTTAATGGCCAGTTGCAAAATGACCTTGGTCGCCGGTGTGGTCGTTGTCCTGGCTCAGCCACCCCTGCTCCCCCGCTCCCCATTTAGCTTCCTAAGCGGTGCTTGTGTATGATTAAGCCACTCAGTAAGCTTATTTGGAGTTACACATTACATTGGATTTCGTTCAGCCTCTGAGTGAGCGGGTGAGAAGTAAAAGCAGTCACTTTTCAGGACACTTGGTTGCGGTCCTTTCGGTTAACTTGGCTTTCCCATCTGGAATGGGGGGATAATGAAGTCTAGCCCGAGGGACAGCGGTAGAGGGGTAGCAGGAAAGGCACATGAAATCGATCCATATGCGTCGCACCAAACCACCAGGACGCTGTGGGACCCACTGTTGCTGGAGGTCAGAGCCACCGGGCGAGTGTCCCCTTCTTTAAGAAGAGGAGCTACCGATTATTCTAGTCAACCCCAGACTGTCTTTTTCTAATTGGTCTGTAGTTCTTTTTTTTTTTTTAATGTTTTTTATTTATTTCTAGGAGAGAGAGACAACGTGAGCAGGGGAGGGTCAGAGAGAGAGGGAGTCACAGACTCTGAAACAGGCTCCAGGCTCTGAGCTGGCAGTCAGCACAGAGCCCGACGCAGGGCTCGAACCCACGAACCGCGAGATCATGACCTAAGCGAAAGTCAGACGCTTAACCGACTAAGCCACCCAGGCCCCCCAATTGGTTTGTAGTTCTAATGGTTAAGTTGACCTGGGAAGAAATTAACCTTTTTGTATCTGCCTTTCTCTGTGTTTACAGAGTGCTAGTTTGACATAAGAATAGATTTGTGCGTAAGCACGCTTTTAATAACACCTTCATCCTTTTTTAAATGACCGTCAGCAGAAGCCGCCTTTGGCTCTGTCCCAGAAAACACATTGCATCAAGGTTGGCAGACCTTGGTTTGAATTTATTTAAATGTCACGGGATGGATGCTTCCTTTGTGAGCAGATTCCAGAGATTTGTTGCATACCTAAATGTAAGCGTACGTTGTACTTGAACAGGTCAAAACTACGTTCAAACAGATGTTGGCAGATAGCGGGGCTGGATATTACGGTTTAGCCTCCCCCCACGCTAGATCTTCTAGACCCAAATTCATCCTTGATTCTGTATATGAACAAAATACTGTTTCAATCTGGGTCCTCTGAGAGAAGACATCAAGACAAAATTCACCATTGTAAGAGATTTATTGTAGAAGAAGCCTCCAAAGGATAAAGGGGAGAGAGAGTAGGTGCAGGCAGTTTGTTAAAAAAAATAATAAACCAGGGTTGGGGCGCCTGGATGGCTCAGTCGGTTTAGCGTCCGACTTCAGCTCAGGTTATGATCTTGCGGTTCATGGGTTCAAGCCCCACATCAGGCTTTGTGCTGACAGCGTGGAGGCTGCTTGGGATTCTCTGTCTCCCTCTCTTTCTGCTCCTCCTGTGGGCTCTCTCTCGAAAATAAATACACATTAAAAAATAAAAAATAAAAGAGGGTAGTCCTGTATCAGTCCCTGCAATCTGGATTTTGTTGATTGCATCCCAGTAGTATTATTTAAACATGTTCCGCTGGCGCCTGAGTATCAGATCTAGAGGCTTGATCACATTAGAAATTAGCATTTGCTCCTGGTCTTCCTCCCCTTCCTTCCATCCTAACTACTTCATTGGTGGTGGCATGTTCTTCCGTCGGGAGGCAGATAATGTCTTGTTATCCTTTTTTGCGTGTGATATTAGCCGATGTTCATGATTATTACACTAGCTCGATGGATCTAATTTACTAGGGGGTGCAAAATGCTGATATTCTAATTTTTAAAAAATTTTTAATGTGTTTTATTTATTTCTGAGAGAGAGAGAGTGTGTGAGCAGGGGAGGGTCATTGAGAAAGGGAGATACAGAATCCAAAGCAGGCCCCGGGCTCTGAGCTAGCTGTCAGCACAGAGCCCCACGCAGGGCTCGAACCCACAAACCGTGAGATCATGACCTGAGCCGAAGTTGGATGCTCAACTGACTGAGCCACCCAGGGGCCCCTGTAATGGGAGTTTATTTTTTATTTTTTTTTATTTCTGACAGAGAGAGAGAGAGAGAGAAGGAGAGAGAGAGAGAGGCAGCATGAGCAGGGGAGGGTCAGAGAGAGAGGGAGTCACAGAATCCGAAGCAGGCTTCAGGCTCTGAGCTAGCTAACTGTCAGCACAGAGCCTGACACGGGGCTCGAACCCACTAACTGTGAGACCATAACCTGACCCAAAGTCGGACACTTAACCGACTGAACCACCCAGGTACCCCTGTAATGGGAGTTTGAAGAGAACTAGGTATAAGATAGCATTGGAAGTGTGAAAAATAATGTAGATTTGAAAATAAATGTGTACAGACATAGATTTCCTTACTCTGTGAGCTCAGAGATCCCAGAAGCAGGGACATGCCAGTAAGTAGCAACGAGCACATCTAGAGCCCAGACCTTGGTTTCTGATGCTGTCAAGGCTCATTGGAGAAATGGCCAATTCTGGGGTTGGGAAGAGAGAGACAGCTTGAGCCTAGAACATCTTGTAATACCAGAAAGTAAGGAAGTGCCCAAACACACACACACACACACACACACATACACACACACACACTCACACTCACAATGATGGGAACATGTCAGAGTGACACAAGAGCCACCTGAACGAACTCTGAGTGACCAAAGCTGGAATAGGTTGAGCAACAAAACAAATAACGTAGTATCGAATTATCACCCGAAGTATAAAACCACCATCTGTGGGTCCATACTGATGTAATAAGTTCATGATTGAATACATAAATCAGTGGGGGAGAAGAGCGAAAAATTTATGTAGACACTTCACCCTCAAGGAAGTGGAACGTAACTCCCTATGTCTTAAAGTGTGGGCTGTGGGTAGCCTTCCTTCCAAAGAGCACGGGATTGGACAGGAGAAGAAAGAGTAGCTCGATAGTGGAGAAAACTGTCAACTACCACCTCAGCCGGTGATCGGGACCGACATCAGTGACAGGTCATGTTCATAGCATGCATCCTTGATACGATGTTAGTCCACAACATTTTCCCTGCTTTTTTGGTATTGCTGTACTGTGTTCTAAATCTGTCTTTTATGACTGTTTTTATTCACACGTAAAAGCCTGTGCTCAGCTTTGAGCCCATGAAGGATGTATGATGTGTGGTTCTTACCTTGGGGAACCTGGAATGTACTGGAAAGAACAACTAGCAAGCGTGTAGCCCAGAGATAAATCATGGGAGGTGATTATAAGGGTTTTTTTAAGTTGAGAGAAGCACAGATCTACTGAGGGCTGGTGTAGCCAGGGGGAGTTTCCAGGAAAACACACTCTTCTGTGTATATAGTCAGGATTTCTGGACGAAGGGCATGATAAGGGTTGACTGAGAGGCTCAACACATTCTTTTAAGTAGGATTTCACGGAATTTAAGAAAAACAACAGAAGAACACAAGGGAAGAGAAGGAAAAATAAGATAAGAACACAGAGGGAAGCAAACCAGAAGAGACTCTTAAATACAGAGAACCGACTGAGGGGTGCTGGAGGGGAGGTGGGTCGGGGGGATGGGTGAAATGGGTGACGGGCATTAAGGAGGACGTTTTTGGGGATGAGCACTGGGGATCATACGTAAGCGATGAATCACTGGGTTCTACTCCGGAAACCAGGACCACGCTGTATGTTAACTAACGAATTTAAATTAAAAAAATTATTACGTTCCATCAGCCAACCTTTGTTGGATAATAAAATTATGATAATGTAATATAGGATGGATTATAAAATTGGTGGCTCAGGTAATCATAGTGTGGTCAGAATTGATTAGAAAGATAGCAAAATTGGAGCACCTGGGTGGCTCACTCCTTTAAGCTTCTGACTTGAGCTCATGTCATGATCTCATGGTTTGTGAGTTTGAGCCCCACGTCGAGCTCTGTGCTGACAGCTTGGAGCCTGGAGCCTGCTTCGGATTCCGTGTCTCCCTCTCTCTCTGCTACCTCCCCTGCTCACACTCTGCCTTTCTCCCCCTGCCTCAAAAATAAACACACATTAAAAAAAAGAAGATAGCAAAGTCAACGGATTATGTATGAGGCTCTGCATGCATTTTATGTATAGATCTGGCTAAATCTTGGATGTTTCATGTTTGGGTCTTAAAATGTTCTTTGATTTTTTTTTTTTTCCCCTCATAGGGCTATCTGCTGCCAAACTCTTAGCCGAACATGACGCTAATGTTTTGGTCCTAGAAGCACGGGACAGAGTTGGAGGAAGAACCTACACCGTGAGGGTAAGTGATTTTAATACTTAACATATATTTTCTCCCTCAAACCGGAAGTGGGGGCAGTGGAAGTCACAGAGCTGGAAGTGATCTCGCGTTCATGCGGTCGAAGCCATTCGTCCACCAGAGCCTTAAACTGCTCCAACAAGTCAGTGTCCGTTGTTGCCAACAAGCACTCGCTGAAGGGTGTGACCGCCTCTGATCTTCAGGAGCTTACAGCCTAGTGATGAAAGCAGACGTGAACACATAACCTCTGTACACTGTCATAATTTCCATGCTGGAGACCTAGATAGAGTAAGTAGTGTCCCAGATGGGCGTATGGACTGGCTGACTTGAAATGACTATATACCCACAACATACGCACGTGCGCGCGCGCGCACACACACACACACACACACACAGAGTACAGGTTCCTTCTTTATTTATATGTATTCAAGGACACACAACTTCAACGAAGTATGGCTAAATGGGCAGCTCAGGCGGTTAGGCGCCCGGCTGTTAATGTCGGCTCAGGTCATGATCTCGCAGTTCTTGGGTTCGAGCCCCACATCGGGTTCTGTGCTGACATCATGGAGCCTGCTTGGGATTCTCTCTCTGTCTCTCTCTGTCTCTGCCGCTTCCTCTGCTTGTGTGCTCTCTCTAAATAAGCAAATAAATACACAAATAAATAAACTTGAAAGAAAAGAAGTGTGGCTACAGTAAGCAGAAGCAAATGGGGCGTATTTTTGTGCCCCCTTGTCCTCAGCCCCTGTTTCCTAAGGGGAGTCCTGGTGGGAGAGACCCTCTTCACTCAGGTAAGGTTGGCTAGACGTGAGGAAGCTCAGTTCTTGCTACATCGCTGCCTGTTTAGACTTGGGCTGGCATCACCATTTTAGAAAAAAAATGCACCCCATGTATTGTTTACTATTATTCAAGGCCACAGTGGTAAGCGGTCAAGTCTGTGGTAGCTGATGGATGTGCACAAAGAGCCCACGCGGGGTGGAGAGGAAATCGGGCCGAAGATAGAGGTTTGAGGGGGGGCCATGCAGACTGAACGGGGGCAGAGACAGCGGGGCGAGAGCGAAGCAGCGGAGAGCCAGAGGCAGATCACCGGGGCGGGGAGGAAGGGATGACAGCCAGAGTCAGATGCCGGGGGCGTTTGACAGAGGATGAGGGCTGAAAAGGGCCCTTGTGTTCGTCAGTGAGGTCACTAACGAGAGCCTCTGCTCGAGCACACAGATGGTGTGGTAAAGGCTGGACAAAACGAGATGGCTGCAGTGACCGGAAAGAAAGGAAGCATCTATCTAATGAGATGTGTCGGGCTTACAGAGAAGTGGCTTCTTTTTTTTTTTTCTTTTTTTAATTTTTTTAATGTTTTATTTATTTCTGAGAGAGAGAGAGAGAGAGACAGCGTGAGCAAAGGAGGGGCAGAGAGAGAGGGAGACACAGAAGTCGAAACAGGCTCCAGGCTCCGAGCTGTCAGCACAGAGCCCGACGCGGGGCTCAAACCCATAAATCACGAGATCATGACCTGAGCCGAAGTCGGACGCTTAACCGTCTGAGCCACGCAGGCGCCCGGAGAAGTGGCCTCTGCTGTGCTCATCAGGACTGTGTGAGCACCACAAGCGTGCGCTTGTTTCGCATAACGAGTAGCCTGGTCACAGCGAGCCCAGACCGACAGGGGGGCTCAGCTCAGTCATCAAGTCTTTATGCTCTGTCCGTCTTTCCACTCAGCCGTTCTTCGCATGTTGTTTTAGCGCCTGATGGTGACCAGATGGCTGCCACCACTCTGAGCATCAGGTCCTCATTTAACACCAGAAAGGACGTGAAGAGGCAACTCCAGTTTTTCTTTTTGAAGTTTTTATTATAATTTCCGTTAGGTAACATACGGTGTAATCTTCGCGTCCGGTGTACAGTACAGTGGTTCAACTTCCGTAGGACACCTGGTGCGCTCCCGAGTCCCCATCCCCCGTTTCATCCATCCCCCCACCCAGCTCCTCTCTGCTAACCGTCAGTTTGTCCTCTGTAGTTAAGAGGCCGTTTCATAGTGAGGCGGCTCCAGCTTCATCTGCAACAAAGCTTTTCCTTTTCCAGGAGACATTTGGTTTGTTCTCCTTGGCCGGAAGTGGGAACATATCGCTATACCTTGAGCTGCGAGGGAGCCAGGGAAAGCAAGCATTTAGCATTCCCAGGCTGCATAATAGAAGCAGGCATGGAAAAGGCAAGATGAGTGGATGTGGAATAGTTAGCCAACGTGTGAACTAGACTGTTGTAGAACATGGCTTTCCGTCACACTCGGCCATGCTGTGCTGTCAGCACCGAGCCCGATGTAGGGGTCTAACTCACAAAAGCGTGAGATCATGACCTGGGCTGAAATCAAGGGTCGGACGCTTAACCGACTGAGCCACCCAGGTGCCCCTGCTTCCTACCTTTTTGGTTTTTTCTATTTTTAATTTTTTTAACGTTTATTTATTTTTGAGAGAGAGAAAGAGACAGAGAGTGCAAGCAGGGGAGGGGAAGAGAGAGCGAGACACAGAATCCGAAGCAGGCTCCAGGCTCTGAGCTGTGAGCACAGAGCCCGACGCAGGGCTTGAACTCACAGATCTCAAGATCATGACCCAGGCCAAAGTGGGATGCTTAACTGACTGAGCCACCCAGCTGGCCCCCTACCTTTTGAGATTTACACAGGGATCAAACTAACAAACAAAAAGATATACACAGAGATGTACCACAGGTCTGTTTTCACTTTACTCAGTTCTAAGAGTGCTTTACAGCCTTCCCACTCAGTGTGGTGGATGGACTCCCCCCCATTCCAGAAGCTTGATAGAAACGCAGAATTCTAGACCTTGTCCCAGACCCACCGAATCCAAATCTGCATTTCGACGAGCTGCCCAGGGGATGCGACAGCAGTGTCGCTCGGTGGTGTGTGTTTGCTTGCTTGCTTTAAATGAAGCCAGATTAATTGTATCTGGGGAATTTGTAAGTACTTCCCCGTCCACCTCGAAGCTCTTGGTGTGGAATTCAGGAGACTGAGATTCTGGTCCCTGTACCCCCTGACCTCCTGTCTTCCCCTGCGCTACGTCTTGCTAGCATCTCACACCTCCGTTTTCCCACCTGGGCAGTTAGATACGATCGAAATGTACTTCAGGCTCCCTGACAACTTCAAGTTCTAACTGAAGACGGCGTGTGGCAGTGCAAAGGAAGGATTGCATATTCTGCGTGTCTGACCTTCTTAGATACAAGTCTCCTGTCATTTTCGGAAAATTATTCCTTCACTTTGGTGATAGTTATTAAGTTACTCCTTAGCCCTACTTTCTTATCTCTAAAACCTTTTGGTTATTAAATAGGAGCATCAGTCTTGTTGCAGATTTTCAGGTAAGAACAAGTTTCTTGATCTAAAGGAAATGAGAATTCCAACATTGTTGTATCATTTAAATACATCAGCACCATACAGGCGCTATGGCGTAGTGAGCGTGATAATTGTAACTTTTTAGGTGTCCGCGAAAGGAACTTTGAAATGCGCTTCGAAACGCATACAGACGGAGCGCCTGGGTGGCTCAGTCAGTTGAGCCTCTGACTTCGGCTCAGGTCATGATCTCGCAGTCCGTGAGCTCAAGCCCCGCGTGGGCCTCTGTGCTGACAGCTCAGAGCCTGGAGCCTGCTTTGGGTTCTGTGCCTCCCTCTCTGTCTCTGTCCCTTCCCCTGCTCATGCTCTGTCTCTCTCTCTCTCTCTCTCTCTCTCTCAAAATTAAAATAAAACATTTTTTAAAAATCTAAAAAAAAAAGCAACAAAATGCGTACAGACTAGGAATGAACATTTATAAGATTTCAAGTGAATGGAAGGAGAATAAAGGGCTTTGAGAAAAAGGAACAGAAGTGGTATTTAATAAGAAACTGAACTGGATATTGATAGAATTGCTACTAAGAGCAAATTTTGAAAAATTCATTATTTATTAATTTTTTTAAAGTCAATTTTTTTCTTTAACATTTTTTTATGTCTTTATTTTATTTTTTTGAGAGATGAGACAGAGAGTGAGCGGGGGAGGGGCACAGAGAGAGGGAGACACAGAATCCGAAGCAGACTCTAGGCTCTGAGCTGTCAGCACAGAGCCCGACGCGGGACTCCAGCCCACAGACTGTGAGATCCTGACCTGAGCCGAAGTCGGACGATCAACCGACTGAGTCACCCAGGCACCCCATATCGATTAATTTTTTTAAGTTTTTATTTTTATTTTATTTATTTATTTTGAGAGAGAGACAGAGGCAGATAAAGAGGGAGAGAAAGAATCCCAAGCAGGTACCTCGCTGTCTGTGCAGAGCCCAACCTGGGGTTCGAGTTCATAGACTTGTGAGATCATGACCTGAGCCAAAATCTAGGAGTCGGGCGCTTAACCGACTGAGCCACCCAGGCACCCCAATTCATTTCTAAGTTTATTTATTTTTGAGCGAGAGAGAAAGAGCACACATGCACAAGCAAATGGGGGAGGGACAGAGAGAGAGAGAGAGAGAAAATCCCAAACAGACTCCACTCTCGGCAGGGAGCCCAATGTGGGGCTTGAACTCACGAACCCTGAGGTGTTCATGACCCAGGTGCCCCTCTAAAAGCAATTCTTAGAGTCAATTAGGATAATTTGGGATGGAGATGCCCTAACAGTTACGCTGGATCTTTAAGTACCAAAATATTAAATTTGGTCTTGTCACTTAGCCCTTGTTCAAATAGATCTCTTGTTACTTCAGAGCTTCCTAGTTTTTCCTCAGTGTGATTCCACTGTAATTCTTCAGGACCAAATTAATGACATTGAAAAGCCAGCGGGGCAATCACAGGGATGGTATATTTGTTTCCTAAAATAGTCGCGTGTTCGTGGCCTCTTCAAAGGCTGAGAAACAGGATCAAAAGCAAGACCATCAAAATGGAGGAGCAATACCTCAGAATGATATTACAGTATCAGTACCTTCCTGCTGAACCTGGAGCACCTCCTTTAGAATCTGTCATCTTTGTGGGGCACCTGGGTGACTCGGTCAGTTAAGCATCTGACTGTTAATTTCAGCTCACTTCATGGTCTCTCCCGGTTTGTGAGTTCGAGCCCCGCATTGGGCTCTATGCTGACAGGTACAGACTCTGTACAGACACATCCTGTAAAAGAAAACAAATGAACACATAGGTGACCAACAAAGCCAGAAGCAGATTAAGTGCAGAGAACAAATTGGTGGTTGCCAGAAAGGAGGCGGTTGGGGGTGGGGTGGGGTGGACAGAACAGGTAAAGGGGATGAAGAGCTACAGAGTTCCATTTATAAAATAAGCGAGTCACAGGATTGAGAAAAGTACGGCCTAGGGAGTATAGCCGATAATATTGTAATAATTTGTAGGGTACAGAAAGGAAATTTCTGCAGTATGCCTCACGCTTTTTACTCCTTCACTTAGGATTATTTGCTTTAATGATAGTGTCTGTCTTCTAAAGCCATCATGTTTGGAAATTCCCGTGAGTCCTCTTGCTTTGTTAAAGCACATACTTTAACCAGTTTCGTTTTATATTTATATTATTTTAAAAATTTATTTATTTTGAGAGAGACTGAGACAGCACGAGCGGGGGCGGGGCAGAGAGCAAGGGACACACAGAATCGGAATCAGGCTATGCGCTCAGCTCAGAGCCCTACTCGGGGCTCAAACTCACGAACCGTGAAACTGTGACCTGAACCAAAACAGGAGAGTAGAGAGTCGGACGCTTAACCGACTGAACCACCAAGGTGTCACAGGGAGAGTTAAAGAAGCCGAAGGCATACTTCATGTCAGGTCTTGTGGCCGAACGAAAGCCCTGATGACTCTCTGCATTGAAATAAGTAAAATGCTGGGGCGCCTGGGTGGCTTAGTCGGTTAAGCGTCCGACTTTCGCTTAGGTCATGATCTCGCGGTTCGTGGGTTCGGGCCCCGCGTCGGGCTCTGTGCTGACTGCCAGCTCAGAGCCTGGAGCCTGTTTCAGTCTGTGACTCCCTCTCTCTCTGACCCTCCCCTGCTCACGCTGTCTCTCTCTCTCCTAGAAATAAATAAAACATTAAAAAAAAAATTTTTTTTGAAATAAGTAAAATACACTCTGCTGCCTTCACATGAGAATCAGAAACTCCCAGGTCTCCTGAATGTCTCACCTTTCACACACCCAATCAGAACTTCTGACCTTGACCATCAGGACCACCATTCCAGCAGGCTTCCAAAGGATGATAGTTCCGAAAAATTCAGTCATGCCCAGTATTCTCATGCCCCACATTCATTCTGTTGGCTGTGCCTTCGAAATATCCGGGTCCAACACTTCACACCCCTTTCATGACTACTCCTGGTGGCAGTCATTGCCATTTCTGAGCCAGATGCTGCAGTGGCCTCCTTACCTGATTTTCCCCTTGCCTCCTATAATCTCGTCTTAGTGCAGCAGCCAGAACGAGCCTCTCAGAACTGACTCAGATCTTGGCGTGTCTCTGCTCCAAAGCTTCCAGAAGCTCTCCTCACTCAGAGACCAAGCCGGCGTCATTACAATGACTTGTGAGGCTTCCCATGATCTGCCCCCCACATGGAGGGCTGAGGTGGGGCTCGAACTCACAAACCATGAGATCATGACCTCACCTGAAATTGAGAGTCAAGACGCTTAACCAACTGAAGCACCCAGGAGCCTCTGGCCACCTATTTCTTGATCCCACCAGGCACCCTTCTGCCTTAATCTTTGCACTTGCTGCCCTTTCTGCCAGGAATGCTCTTGTCCTGGCATAGGGATAACTCCGTCACTTCTTTCAAGTCTTTATGCAAATATTACCTCTTCAAGGAGGCCTACGTATCCAGCGTATTTTGAATTCCAATCTTCCCTTTTCTCCTCTGCAGTTTCAGTCTCCCATGTTCTACGCTAGCTTTTTGTTTCTTGTTCTTATCAGCTTCTGAGATACTTCGTTGCTATGTTCCGGGTTCATTTTCTGTCTCTTCCCATCGAATGTAAGTTCCTTGAGAACAAGGATCTTGGTTTCCTTTACTGATGTAACAGAAGCTCCTAGAACAGTGCCTGGCACCTTGTAGGAGAGGCAGGTGCTTGCTTGTTGAATAGACAAGTGAATCCCCAAAGCAAAGACACGAAGCCTAGGAAGTAAATGAGCTCAAACCTTGGCTTTCACCTTGGATGCCTACTCAGCCCGAAAGACTTTGCAGATTACACCATGAAGGCCACAGGGCGCACAGGGAACAGTAGATGAAACTCCGAGCCTGTTGAAGATAGGGAATTGTAATAGGAAATGCTCCAGTTGGAATCCTTCATACATGAAAGTGCGATGTAAATAAAGCTGACCATTCAGAAAGGGAGAAGAAGAAAGCTTGCCCCCATTCATGGATTCCATCCAAATTTACACCACCTATATGGTATGCTAAACCTCAGGCAGACTATTTATTTATTTATTTGTGTGTTTATTTTATTTATTCTGTAAATGTTTATTTTTGAGAGAGAGAGACAGACAGACAGAATATGAGCAGGGGAGAGACAGAGAGAGAGGGAGACGCAGAATCTGAAGTAGGCTCTAGGCTCTGAGCTATCAGCACAGAGTACGATGCGGGGCTCGAACCCACGAACCGTGAGATCATGACCTGAGCCAAAGCCGGACGCTTAACCAACTGAGCCACCCAGGCGCCCCTCATTTTTTAAATTTACATCCAAGTTAGCATATGGTACAATAGTGATTTCAGGAGTAGATTCCTTAATGCCCCTTACCCCTAGAGCCCATCCCCCCCCCACAATCTTTACAGTAACCCTCTTTTCTTTATATTTGAGAGTCTCTTATGTTTTTGTCCCCCTCCCTGTTCTTATATTATTTTTGCTTCCCTTCTCTTATGTTCATCTGTTTTGTATCGTAAAGTCCTCATATGAGTGAAGTCATGTGATATTTGTCTTGCTCTGACTGACTAATTTTGCTTAGCATAATACTCTCTAGTTCCAAACACTTAGTTGCAAATGGCAAGATTCCATTCTTTTTGATGGCCAAGTAATACTCCGTTGGATATATATATCACATTTTCTTTACCCATTCTTCCATCGATGGACATTTGGGGCTCTTTCCATACTTTGGCTATTGCTGATAGCACTGCTATCAACACTAGGGTGCATGTACCCCTTTGAAACAGCATATTAGGCAGACTGTTTAAATGTCAATGTGGCTGGCAGAAATAGACTCCAGTCCTTTCCCCCTAGGCCTCAAATTACTTATTTATGTATTTATTTATGTATTTTTGAGAGAGAGGGAGAGTGAGCGGGGGAAGGGTAGACCAGAGGGGAGATGGAGGATCTGAAGCGGGCTCTGCACTGACAGCAGAGCGCTTGACGCCGGGAGTTTGAGACCTGAGCCAAAGTTGACTCAGGTCAACTTAACTGACTGAGCGACACAGGTGCCCCTCAAATAAAATATTTTTATTTTATTTTCAATTATTTTTGAGAGAGGGAGTGAGAGAGAGCGGGCGTGTTTGAACAGGGGAAGGGCAGAGAGAGGGAGGGAGAGAATTCCAAGCATGTTCTGCGCTGTCAGCATAGAGCCCTAGTTGGGGCTCAATCCCATGAACCATGAGATCATGACCAGAGCCGAAGTCAAGAGTCGAACATTTAAACTGAGTGAGCCACCCAGGTGCCCCATGGCCTCAAATAAGTTACACAGCAAAAGTTCCAAAGAAAATAAGTAGCTCATAATTAAAATGAGAAACCATAAGGAAAACAAGGCATGAAAAAAGGACAAGTATAAAAACAAAAGATCCAGAAAGTATTTTAACGTAAGCTCAAGAGCCCATCGGTGTGCTCTGATTTAAAGCTTCATCTGTTGGGGGGCGCTTGGGTGGCTCGGTCAGTTAAGTGTCCAACTTTGGTTCAGGTCATGATCTCATGGTTCGTGGGTTCGAGCCCCGCGTCGGCCTCTGTGCTAACAGCTAGCTCAGAGCCTGGAGCCTGCTTCGGACTCTGTGTCTCCCTCTCTCTCTGACCCTCTCTGCTCACGCTGCCTCTCTCTCTCTCTCTCTCTCTCTCTCTCTCAGAAATAAAACATTTAAAAAAAGTAAAGCTTTATATGTCGGAAATCAGAGAATTGCACTTAATAAATCTCAGGATGGCCCCTTCAGCAACAACCCCAAAGAAAAGTATGCATAAAAACCGAAATGCCTTGAAAATGATCTAGGTCAGCAGGATGTACGATAGCGTTCTTTATCCATTTATATACGTTATTGTTGAATCAGCGTCACCAGTAACTGTACAAACCAGATTACTTCTGATGAGTGTCCTCCAGGGCTGTGCCCACTTCTTGGCTGGCGGAGAAAGAATTGCTATTTTCAGCTGCACTTTCTAAGAGAGAAATAGGCACATTTCACTTGTAAAAAATGAATGTTTTTGTTTTTAATTAAGAAGTAGCAACTTTCTTCCGCCCAAGTGTTAACTAAAGTCTTCTGGCTCCTTTCTTTGTACAGAATGAACACGTCAATTACGTAGATGTTGGCGGGGCTTACGTGGGACCAACCCAGAATCGAATCCTACGATTATCTAAGGAGCTGGGTCTAGAGACTTACAAAGTGAACGTATGTGAGCGGCTTGTTCAATATGTCAAGGTAAGCCAGTGGGAGACTGTTGTATTTGGGAGAACATTCGGTGTCCTTCCTAGTTTTTTCTCAAAGCCATTGTAAAAATAGGCTCTCTGCCTTATAGTAGTTTTTCTTTCTTTCTCTTTCTTTTTCTTGCTTTCTTTTTAAAAAAAAATCCTTGTGGACCCTGAGAATCCCCGCAAGGGGTCATGCGTCAGTTCGCCCCCTCTTCACATCACCCACTGTGATCCTTAAACGCTGCACCCTTACCCCCCAGTCCAACTGGAGTAAGGATATGAGGCTTTCAGCTTCCTTCCTTCTTCAGCGTCCATGGGGAGCAAGGGAGCAGGGACAGGAGTCACCTGTCACAGACATGGGTGTGTACGTACGCATGCGCACACACGCACACATGCGTGCACACCCACACAGACCCAGGCGGCCCTTGAGGCACCTGTGAGGCAATTCTAAGGGCCCAAGGAACACAGTAGACTGAGGCCACTTCTTAAGACTGAGGAGGTTACTGATCGTTGCCTGACATTTCTGTGCACACTTTGATAATTTCGTCTGTACTGGGCCTTGACTCTTGGGAAGGCTACCGGGCTGGGCGGTTTCCTACCGTTTGAACAAGATGGTTTCATCTCTGTGGCTATCCAGCTGTTGCCGGAGCTCTTCTTCCTCGCTGCAGCCAAACACGGAGCAGCTGGAGTCTTGGAAATGTGCCTTGAGAGGTCAGGCTGTCCCACCCGCCTTCGCAACCCGCTTCCCAGAACCAGGGTCTCGAGGGTAGGCGTCATTTATTCCCTCCAGTGCCAGGATTCCCACACCGGTGATCACATCCTTTTCTCGGCGGCTCCAGCCCACGCAGTCGTGTGGGTCTGGAGCCTTTGGGGGCTTTTGGAGCTTGGAGTCAAGGGCACATGTGGTACGTGCACACTGGGAAGCAGTCAGGCGATCTTCAGAAATTCTGATCTGGTTTGGGATGCTTGCGGGGAGGGGTCTGGCAGTTGCACGTGTGAAAAAACAAACCAGCAGCCTTTAGAAAAACTGAGGTGGGAGGTCAAGGGAGGAACGAAGAACATATAAAAAAACCATACGGAGTGTTTGCAAATGCTGGCTTCGGTAGGCTTCCCGATCATGAGGGCTGATGGGGGTGGGGAGGGAGGGGAACGGAGGTGATGGGCATGGAGGGAGGGCACTTGTGGGGATGAGCACTGGGTATTATATGAACCAGCTTGACAATAAACTATTAAAAAAATTTGGAAAAAAAGAAAAAGAAAGTGAAAAGGCCCTGTGCTTCTGCTTTCTGTTTTCTGCACAGCAGGGCATTTCCCTGGACAGCATATAATGGCAATGGTGAGAATGATAGTAACCAACATTTACTGAGCACTTTTACATGTATTAGCATATTTAATGTAGGGAGAGAGACCAAATCCTTTGCATCGAGTACTAAATAACCTGTAAATTCACTCTCCAGTCCAAGTAGGAAGCAAACATTCAGGTGCTGAGAGAGTTTTTATTTGCTCTGGAGTCTCACCGTAAACCACTAAGTGCTTTTTCATGCACGATCTCTGTAAACCCTTACACCCACCTTGTTAGGCAGGCACAATTAGCCCCATTTTACAGAGGGGGGAAACTGAGGTTCAGAGAGGGAAAGCAGCTTGACAAGACTACGAAACTAGTAATGGTCTGCTTTACCTCCCGAGCTCGTACCGTTCATGCGTTTTAGGACCCGGCTCCCAAAGAAACACACATTTAAGGTGCGAAGCCCCATTCTTTTCTTTTAAGTCACAATCTCATCTAAAGGAAAGATGGGGCACAAAAATACGATTAAACGATCCTCTCACATCCTTTAACCTGCCAAGGAACACGTATTTTCCACCCACGGTGGAGAGCAGTGTTCGGGTAAAAATAATAGTGGGTCAGTTAGAGGTTAATTTATTTGAGCTGAATGAGTCCGTGTCTGCTAGTGGCGCCATTAAAAAGTACCATTTCTGCTATGAGAAATACTCAGTGTCATGGATGGTTTGATAATGACCAGCAACCTGTAAAGCGAGGCGGCTGGATTAGGGACAGGCAGGTTGTTAACAAACGTGGAAGATTGTTAACAAACCGTGTAGGGAAGACTCATTCCACTTATTTAAAAATATCTCAACCCTTACCGCTGGGTCCACTTCTGGGGGGGAAATGGACTTTGGCCCGACACCATCATGCTCTGAGTTAATAGTGCAAGTTGTCTTTGTGACACTCTCTGCATTGGCTCTGGACACAACCCCAGCCTCTGTAATCTACCACCATGCATGCTTATCAGTGAATAACACCAAAGTGAAGTGGGTGAATCCAGTCTAGTTAAACCACTGTCTAGTTAAACCAGGCCATATTCTTTACGGTCCCGGTAGCTTTTAAATTTTACCAGTGCACAGCCTTGAAGACTGCCACAGTTGTTTCTTCTGACAGCGGACTGTAGTGCATCCAGCCAGTTTCAATGTGGTCTAGGAAGTTCTTTGTTTAAGAGTTTTATTTTTAAGTAATCCCTACACCCAGCGTGGGCCTCGAACTTGAAACCCCTGAGATCAAGAGTCGCGGGCTCTGCCGATTGGGCCCGCCAGGTACCCCTCAAGGATGAGTCTTAGTGTTCACCAAAGAATGGTTCTTGACCCTTGCTAGATTGTGTTTACAGGGCACATTTTGGCATCGCAATGTGGAGTTCCAAGCCTGAGCCTCTGAGCTGAGCAGCGGGGATAGCTGTTTAGTGGTGTTTTGCACTCTGACCCTTCCCAGGAGAAGGGTCTGTCTACCTCATTCATAGAATAGTTTAGTAGATCCTGATTCTTCTTTTATTTTGAAGATTATGTATTTATTTTAGTAATCTCTACACCCAGTGTAGGACTTGAACTCTTAACCCCGAGATCACGAGTTGCATGCTCTACCGACGGAGCCAGCCAGGCGCCCTAGAAGATCCTGACTCTTCCACAACAGGTTCTTAGACCGGTTTTATGAATGTTGTGAATGTGATCACGCCTTTATTTAGGAGTCTATATCTGCTTTGTGAAATTAAATTAACCATGTGGTCTTGAACCTAAAAGGCGGATTTGAAGTGGCATCAGCTAAATGTGTTTAAACCATTATCTGTTCTTTTCCTTTGGATGGTGTAAGGGAAGCAGGTGGACTTTTGAGTGCTTCTTGGATTGACCTATTACTTGCATTAGTGAATTAGACGCACCATCATTACAGTTATTTGATGAATTAAGTTTCATTGAGTTGTTGAGCCTTTTGGTTAAGTTTTACAGTGCCGAGTCTTGGAGAGGAAGGAAGAAATGTTTCATTTCCTTTTTTTTTTTCTTTCTTTGAATGGGTTGTTCTGGATCTTAATAATGCAGGTAGGGTAGAGAGAGGTAGACCACTGCGTTTCTCAGGTGCTGCTTTGAAGGAGAAGTTGACATATTTATCTGCATTCCCACGCTCTCCCTGTTTTCACACCCTAAATAAAAATCAAGACTATAGGGGCGCTTGGGTGGCTCAGTCAGTTGAGGGTCCAACTCCCAGTTTCAGCTCAGGTTATGATCTCATGGTTCGTGGGTTCAAGCCCCACATTGGGCTCTATGCTGCCAGTGTAGAGACTTCTTGGGATTCTCTGTCTCCCTCTCTGTGTTGCTCATTCTCTCTCTCTCTCAATAAGTAAATAAAGTTTAAAAAGCGAGATTATAGAGATATACCACCCATTTCTTTTTTTTTTTTTAATGTTTTATTTCCGAGAGAGAGACAGCACGAGCAGGGGAGGGGCAGAGAGAGAGGGAGACACAGAATCTGAAACAGGCTCCAGGCTCTGAGCTAGCTGTGAGCACAGAGCCCGACGCGGGGCTCGAACCCACAAACCGTGAGATCATGACCTGAGCAGAAGTCGGACGCTTAACCGACGGAGCCACCCAGGCGCCCCCACACATTTCTTTTTAGAGGATGGTGTGATGTTTATTTAAAACAACCTAGGCTTTCCTGATAGTAACAGCTCACCAAGCAAATTTTTCTAGCACTGGTTCTTCTTCCCACAGCCGTTTACTTGAAGGTTTCTAGGTCAGTGACTGAAATCAAATGCTTTCCAGAATACGTGTGTTCTGGAATACTAAGTCAGTTTTTTGTTGGTGTTGCTTAGATAACTTTGTTTTAGCCGGGAGGCCATGTTGAAAGCAGGGGGTTCCTTTATTTATTTATTTTTTGTTCGTTCATCTTAATGCTTGCCAGAAATTACTGCGTTCTGACCCGTTGCTTATAATAGAGTGTTTCTTTTGGATCAGGGACGTATATTTTTAGGCTGCTTTTAACACCGTCTTCCATACCAAGTCACAGAGGACGTATCTTTCCTGTTCAAAGAAAGTTAGACTTTCACATTCAATGCAGCTCCGTAGGGAAGGCAAGAAGCCAAGGGCAGTAGGCTCTTGTAAGGACGTTGCGCATTGTGTCTTTGTCTCCTTTCTTATAATCCCCAGAATCCGGGCCGCCTCCCTCTATGCATTGGCATTGCACCCCATCACCTCACCTGAGTTGCCTCGTGATCCTCTGGCGTAATAAGCATTTCCCCTCATCTCACGGATGGAAAAACTGAGGCTCAGAAAGTTTAGGCACCAAAGTAAGGTTTTCTGGCTCTTGAGCTCAGGGTTCTGGGGGTTGCATCACAAAGTTCCTCATTCCACGAGCAGAAAGTCAGCTTGTAAACCCTTTAAAGTTTTTTTCATTTTATTTTTTATTAAAAAATTTTTAATGTTTAGTTAATTTTGAGAGAGAAAAAGAGGTAGAACACAAACAGGGGAGGAACGGAGAGAGAGGCAGACACAGAATCCAAAGCAGGCTCAGGGTCCGAGCTGTCAGTACAGAGCCCCGCATGGGGCTTGAATCCATGAACTGCGAGATCATGACCTGAGCCGAAGGCAGACACTTAACCGACTCAGCCACCCGGGCACCCCCATTTTATTTATTTTAGAGAGACAGAGAGCACAAGTAGGTAAGAGGGGCAGACAGAGAAAGAGAGAGAATCT